TTCATTCCGCAAAATACGTAAAATGACCACCAAATTCTTTGAACAACTTTCTCGAAATTATATTGAGCTTCTTAACGACGATGATTACGACGTAATCATTGAGGTTGGCGAATCATTTGATAAAAAATTATTTAGAGCGCATTCTTCTATATTACGATGCCGTTCTTCTTATTTTCGCGAGACACTAAGAAACGCTTCAAAAGACGAGAATAATATTAAAAAATTTTCGAAAACTAACATTCCTTTTGAAGTATTTGATATTATCCTTAGGTAATTTTATAGAACTTTAATATTATATAGCATATTTTAATTAATCTTTATTTTATTATTAGATACATATATGGTGGTCTCGTAAATTTGGAAAACGTAGAAGCATCTATGGTCTTTAACTTGATGATTTCTGCAAACGACCTTGAACTCGAAGAGTTATTCTACTATCTAGAAACTTATTTAATTGAATCCGAATCACACTGGCTGAAGTCTCATTTTGTTCGTGTTTATCACGTTAGTTTTCAGTCGGACAACTTTAAAAAATTACAAACATTTTGTAATAATATTGTGGTAAAATATCCAAATCTTGTCTTTAATTCCGAAGATTTTAAAAATCTTCAGGAATCCGCATTAGTGTCTATCCTTAAGCGAGATGATTTGCAAATGGAAGAATCTAAAGTTTGGGATAAAGTCATCACATGGGGAACTTCACAAAATCCTAGCTTGCCAAAGAATCTTGATCAATGGACCAATGAAAATTTTATCACATTGAAAACTACTCTTCAACAATGTTTACCGCTTATTCGATATTTTCATATTTCCGGAGAAGATTTGTATGATAAAGTGCAACCTTATAAGAAAATTCTTGAGGCTGGTCTCTGGAAAGCTTTGGTGCAAAACTTTATGGTCCCAAATCGTCCTGTTAAATTTGCTATTTTACCTGCTCGCGAATCTCCAAGTATAAACTTGCCTCTCCGAAACACTGAATTAAATTCAAATATCATCACTCTCGAACATGCTGCAGAGATTTCTTCATGGATTGACCGAAATAAAACATATAATGTAACAAACATTCCCTATGAATTCAAGTTACTTTTAAGTGGAAGTAAGGACGGATTTTCACCGCAGATTTTCTGGGAAAAGTGCAACATGAAAAAGGGTACAGTAGTTATTATGAAGGTTAAGGGAACTGACGAAATTCTCGGTGGATACAATCCTATAGAATGGAATAAAGATAAAGAAGGGTATTCTGAGACCAGTGACAGCTTTATATTTTCTTTAAAGAATGGTAATATCAGAAATTCCATTTTAAGTCGAGTAAAAGATTCGGGTAAAGCAATTTATAATAATCGTGCGAATGCTTACCGTACCGGTCCTACTTTTGGACTTTTTAATCTTGGTTTTGATACGGGCTCTGAAAATATGGATTTTAACGGGACGTGTGTTTGTTTCAGTTGGAATGAACTTTCTTACGAACGATGGATTAGGGGCACAACAGACCGATTTTCTGTAAATGACTATGAAGTGTTTGAAATTAGTAAAATTAATTAATGTTATTCTTTGTAAAATACAACATTGTAAAATTATAAACTTATTACAATTTGAAAAAAATATTCGAAGGTTATACTGTAATATTAATCGTGGAAAAAAATATATAAAGGCCAAGCTGAGATGAATTGGCAATATAACCATGTTTTAAAGTATACGAAATGTTTGTTTCTTAAGTCATTATATTAATTGACAATATTCAATCCGGTTATCATAATGCTAAGCTTACGATAAGTTGTTATATTTGACGAGCCAAAGTTTTCAATAAATCTGCACCAGACTATCAAGCTACGTATAGTATTTAGGCAAAAATTTTATTGAACTCATCATTCAATTATAGAAATTAAAGAATTGAATTATAAATGCATGTGATGTTTCTGATACTGCAAAAATTTATTATTGTTGTTTTTTTTTATTCTTTAGTTTCAAGAACGCGCATTAATCTAATCTTCCATTTCTTTTTTCTCCAACTTTTTTCGCTCTTTTTCTAACTGAATAACTTCTTTTCTAACAATAATAAGGGTCTTAGGCTTCTTGCTTAAAATCTCTTCATTACCATTTTTACTAACACCATCTTTGAATCCTAAAGTTCTCCTATGTTCATATCCAGGATATTGGCTTGGATTAAATGGCAAAGTTTCTTTGACAGCGAGAACACCCGTTGATTTTATAACTTTTTTGATATTCCAATTATCATATGGCAATCCTGTTTTGATGGTTATGTGAATCTCTCCATCATTCAATTCTGAATAGAGCGTCTGAGATGCTAATAATGGTGTTGCCGAGCTTAGGAACGATTTGATAAGTTTTTGATTTGCGAGAATGTTTCGATCTTGATCTTTAATTCCTATGCCTTTAAATGTTGTTAATGTTATTTATTGCCAACACCTTAAACGTTCTAATGCTTAATGTATTAAAATAATTACCCGCGTGTGGAAAATTAAATACAATCTTATCAAACCTTTTATTTTTTAGCTCCTTACATTTATTCAATCGTGTTCCATCAACCTCATACAAAACCTTCCCACTGCATTTAATGAATGCAGAAATGTGTTCACGTGCATCTTCATATTTTTTGTTCACTACTTCTTCACTATCAAGAGCTGTCGCGATGATTAGATGCCCGGTGCGAAGAACACTTTCGGCAAGAACGTGTGCAAAACTAAAATTGCCTATAAAAAATATCGCAAAAAGAGTGCGTTTGCTCACTAGTCTTAGGAAAATACGTTCGAAACCAGTTTTAAGCACCTTCTCCTATTAGCAAAATTGTATCTCCTGGTTGATAAGGTGGTGGTGGAGGTGATCTAACATGAGATTGTGGTTTTTTGGGGGGATATGGTTGAGATTTTTTATCTCTAAATTTCTCATCCCGTTGGAGATTCAACAATAATTTTTTTAGTTTGG